CTTTAAAAAAACAAGCCTAAAACTTGGGGTTCTTTTTCAGTTTTGGGAGGAAATTAAGAAGTAAAATGGATGCCTTAAGAGGCCTCTTAACCTCCTCCTCCTACTACTTCAGAAATAGACCACCAACTCTGGTGGCACCATGGTGTTCCTTGCCCTGCCTTCTGCACCTCCTAGGCAGAGCATAAAGAAAGTCTGGAGTACTCAGACCAAAAAATGTTTCCCAACTGTGGATTAGACGATTGCCACACTGAATATGAATAGCATTGGGAAGTATTCAGAAATTTAACTGAGAATGGCTTCCTTAGTCTGAAGTAGAATGCAATACATTTGTACATCAACACAGATTGTTAGAGTTGGATTATGGCACATTGCATGAACCATTTCAGATTTTTTTCAGTGAAATTGCACAGCAAGCCACTGGAATATTTTCTATACTCAACAAACTTGTTATTCATTAAAATGTATATTAATTAGTTCTAGTTTAATATTTTAGTTTAAATCTTAAAATGCTGTTTTCATAAGCAAAAGGCACATCAGTTCAGAAAACAGACATTTTCTAGACTTCCTGAAATTCAGAGAAGGCTCTGGTGTGTTTACAGATTCTTGTAACAGGAACAAAGCAGCAAATATCCAATTTATTTTTACTCTGGCACTTGGCTATAGCCAGAAAAACATACTCACCGTGCATATTCTTTCATATATTCATCTTGGGTCTTTGTAAAGTACAGTGCCCTTTTTGCAGCCTTTAGAGAAATACAGAATAACTTATACAAAATGCATATAAATATAAAATTAGATCAATGGGGTGTCATTTTTTCCGAAGACCACAATTTATAACTCTTTAATAAACAAAAGACAGATTGATTGACCTTGTGACACAAGGGATTCTTAATAATATTGACAGATCTAAGGAGAGGGAAACAAAAGGGAAGGAGGATCTAGTAATAGAGAGGTAAAGTTAACAAATATATTGTCAATAGGATCTGGGCAGGAAAAGCATGGCCACAGAGCCTTCAGTTGTACTATGATGGTATATGTTTGTGCAAAAATATTTTCCTAGAGTTGTATCCAGTTAACTCCTCCTGCTAAAAGAATGGTTTTCATCAATGGAATGGTATGATAATGATTCCCTCTGCAGCCCCATTCCCTTTAAAATACTTCAAAAGGTTGGAGGACCCTCTGGATGAAATTTGAGGAACAAGGAAAAGGTAGAGCAGAGAATCTCATTGTGCAAGTACATTTTTTCCCATGAGATACTGGATTTCAATCTTTCTAGTGAAAGGATTGTACAATTCTTCTCTAATTAGAAACCTTGGTTAACAAGGTTAGAAAATATGAGGTGGTGGTTGAAATATATATGCATGTGTGCACACACACTTGCAGATGTAAAGCAGTATGTATGTATTTATTTATTTTATATTTCACATTTGTCATTGCTCATCTCCCTAGAAGTGACTCTGGGTGATATACAGTAAAAGAATAAATATTAATTAAAATACAATGAAACCATAGACCTACAAATAATAAATAATAAATATCTTCCAAGATTGATGGTGAAATTATTAGGCTCGGGGAGCATCCTCAAGGTGCCAGCCATCATGGATTCTGGCTCAGAAATGGTTGAGGTGGATTTATATGATGATGGTAGAAGAAAGGTAAAGTTTTCGTATTGCAGTGTTAAATTGCAACTAATTTTGTGGGATTATTAGAAAAAGAAGACTAAGAAAATGCTTCATGTTTCCAATTATCTCAACTGGAAGCTCTGATATTGATAAGTTGGCCTATTTTGTGCTGCTAATGCTACCTTAATCATCAACAGGATCAGTCAAGACTTGGCTCTCATTGCCCGGGAAATCAATGATGTAGCAGGAGAGATCGATTCAGTGACTTCATCAGGCACTGCTCCTAGTACCACAGTAAGCACTGCTGCCACCACCCCTGGCTCTGCCATAGACACTAGAGAAGAGGTAGGAGATCTTCATGGAGAAATGCATAAGGTTCTTCCTTTTCTTTATTTCTTTTGTTTTACTCTTTCGACATGATTTTAATTACCTCCACTCTTGTGTGCATGAATCTCAGCATTCTCTTTCTTTAATTTTAAGGTTAGATGAGCAATGATCGGAAATTAATTCCAGTAGTTAATGGGCAGATCTCTTAATATGGTCAGTGCAAAGAACTGTTGTGTTTTGAACACACTTTCATGTTGATTTTTTTAGTAACATCTTTGTATTTTTTTCATCCTAGGCACAGATACAAATCAGCAGTGCCTGTGTATTCCCTAGCGAAAAAGAATCCTTAAGCATGCGTTGATGCCAGATATTACAAAATGTTATGTGTGAAATGAATGAATTTATGCATGATTAGTAGTCTTAAATGACTCTACATTTCATTAATCTTTTCTTTTGAATAGTCTAGAATCAGCAAGTAAATTAAATCCCTCTCAATACATAATAATCAATAAATCTAAACTGACATACCTTCATAGCCATAAAAGTGTGGTAAAATGGTTAAAGTGTTGGAGCAGGATCAGGGAAACCTAGATTAAAGTGCATGCTTAGCCATGGAAACTCACTTAATGGCTTTGGGCCAGTCAATGTGTCTCAGGCCAACCTACCTGATAGGCTTGTAAAATGAAGGATGATCCCCATGTAAGCTCTGGGATGGGAAGCAATATCAATCTAACAAAATACAAATAAATAAAATTCAGGTTTTGGCTTTCTCTGATCTGCTATTTCTATATGCTGTCTTTCATTCTCATATCACTGTTGCAAACTTCAGTGAGTGTTTAAAATTACATAAATTTAATCTCTTTATAACTGGATTGTCTGAATTATTTGTTTCGTTTTCAGAGTTGGCAGTTTGTTTGGAATAAGTAGTTTTAAAAGCTGGGCAATAGTAAACACTATGTTTTCCTAGAGAGTTTCTCTTAAATAATATATGAATAATTCTTTAATATAGTTGATTCAATTTGTGTTTTAAAAGAAATATCAAAGAGAATCCACCAAAATCTGTTGCATAAACTAAGTTACCATAACTTAAGCTACATTAATGTATATTGAAAAATTAATTCTTGAATATGAGAGTTTGTTTTAAGAGATTTAGAAGATTTTCTAAAAAAATAACTGAAGCTATTGTTCACACATCTGTTTTGGCAATACTATTACAGATCCCAACAGTGACATCTGCAACCTGAGGAAATCATACTTCTCGTTTTTAAATTTTGCATACATCTTAATGGTGGTTGTGCAAATGCGCCCATCCAGCCCATCCAGGGCGAATTTGTCTCTTCTCCAAAGTTAATTATTCCATAACCGGAGGCGATATGCAGAACTCTGGATAGTCTAACTCCAAAATGGATCTTTTTTAGGATCAGGTTGTACCTGGAATGCTGCAGAAAATTTACTTCCAGAAAGAGAAGTACTGTTCCTAGAAAGGCTGGAAACATTGGAATTTTGCAGGCCTGGAACATGGAGATCCTCATCTTTCTGCTTAACTGGCTAGCAGTGTGTTATCACTTATACAGTCTGGTCTCTATATACAGTGACACAGATCTGATATCAGAAATGATAATATTCAAAAACCAGCAAGGGAGCATTTCAACTTTCCAAAAGATTGTGTCACAGGCTTTAAGGTGGCCATTCTTAAATAAGCAACTTCAGAGAGTGATTTCAACAAAAAAACTGTCTGGAGCATATGAGGGGTCAAGTGCATTAAACTCCAGAAAAATAATCTAGTAAAAACAATCTAGCATATGAATATTGCCAACCCTGAATATTTTTCTCCATCAACTGTGTTGTCTGTTTTTATTTATTTATTTATTTCAACAGCTTGTACATGACTTGGTTAACATCATATTCTACGTACATTTTTGCAACTAATAGGGTGTAACAAAGACACATAACATCATATATTCAGTGTGATTTTACTGTGTTTGTGTTGATTTCTTTCTCTTTTTCCCTAGACATGGTACTAAGCATCTGCTAATATAAATATGCATTTTTCTCTAAGATAGATAATGTGGATTTACATCTTTACTAAATAAATGTAAAGCCCCTTATGTTAGCAGTAAGCAATAGTCTAGAGTGTAGAATACATAAATAGTGTTATATATATCATTGTTCAATATTTAAATATGTATTTCTGTACCCTCAAAACTAAAATAATGTGCAATCTTTTGGTAAAATTTAATAAAATATTTTGTTTTTAGTACGCAAAAAAAGAATTCTAATTATTTTGGTGTTTGTCTGTACCAAGATTATAATAAATGGGCCTCAGAATGCATCTAATCAGTCAGCTTTATAAAATTAGGCTTTATTATCAATTATATATATTTGTATATATTTTTCAGTTAGTTGACCGTGTGTTTGATGAAAGTCTAAACTTCAGGAAGATTCCTCCAGTAGTAAATGCTAAAACACCAGATGGAAACATTCGGCCAAATGATCCCAAACCACAGACAACAGACTTATCTGAACCCCCCACAATTACGCGTCGTCGAACCTGGAGCAGAGATGAAGTAAGTATTCATCATATTTTATATAAAGAACTGGTAAAAAAATGCACAGAATTACTTGTTTTTAGCTTTCAGTACTAAACCACTTAGGATGAACTTCCATTTGTAGGCATTGTAGGCATTCACATTGGGTGTGAAAATTCCATTGTGCATCTTAATGTTGTTACTTGTTCCATAGACAGCTTTAAGTTGGTTAGGGGCAGGAGCTATGGGTTAGCAAGACAGAGGACAAAAAGCTGAAGAAGAATTCTAGTGTCCTCTGGTGGACAGAAAGGACAAAGGGGAGGAAGAAGAACAAAAGAAGATGATTCTTCAGAGATTGCTTAAATAGTGAAAAGCCACAGTTTTTCGTTATGTTTGAGCCAGATTTCTCTGGAATGTTCTGAAATCGCAGTGTTTATATAATTGGATCTAAATGTACAAATTCTTTATTATGTCTTAAAAACTCGGGTCATATATTTTTCCCTCAACCATACTATTAAAATGCACTGACATTACTTTTTAAAATTCTTCACTATATTGTATCCATTTTAGCACAATTGTATTACACTTTGTATTGTATTATCTTGCATCCAGGAAATTTAAAATGGCTTATCTGAGATTATTCTGTTGTCTTCTTAAAATAACCCTGTGTACTACGCTACCTGTCTGTAAAGAAATTGGAATCCCATGCATGATTATGTAAGACATAAAAAGGGAATATATTAACAGTTACTGCTGATAATACATCTTGAATTGCATGTGATTAAAAACTACATCCCCAGTACTGAAATAATTCCATTTTGTTTGGCATGTGTTTGCTTCTACAGTTTATAGTCCTACATTCCATTTAAATGAAATTATATGAGAAAAGTTACTTTGAACACATTGTGGAAGAGAGAATTCGGATATTTGGTTTTGCTTTTTTATAAGAATCAAACCTCTAGTACATCAATTTAAAATTTCCTTTTCAAAAATTTTCAGGTTATGGGAGATACCTTGCTGTTGTCCTCAGTCTTCCAGTTTTCTCGGAAGATTCGGCAATCCATAGATAAAACAGCTGGTAAAATAAGGTAACCTGTTTTCTTTATTCAAAATACTCTTGAAAAAACTGCTATTAAAATTTTGATGTTTACTAGGGCTGTGCCAAACCTCTGAAAGAGTTGTAGAATGCATTGCATTTTTTGGTATACTGTTAAAACACTCCTAGAATAACAACTGTGTAGTGACCAATACTTGAGTTTTAAGAACAATTTAACTCTAATTATTACATAATATTGAGAACTTTGATAAGTACACAGCTGTAATATATACAAACCTAGGAGTTAAAACAGAATATTTGGCATTCTTATTTTCTGGCTTAAAATTGAGTTAAAGAACACTATTGATTAAGAAGTAAGAGACTAGGAAGAAAAGAAAGAATTTAGCATATGTGCTTTACAGACATCTTCATTTTTAATTATATATGTTATTTTGCACTATGGTGTTATGGTGTTCCTTTTCTATAAACCATACAGAATTGAAGTTAAGGTAAATAGTAAGATAATTAGCAATATGAAGAATATGTCTATGGCCAGTTTTTAATCTCTGCTTTTGCTATCACGAGATGACTTTTCCCCTTTCTTATGACTTAGCCATTTTTACCCAATGTATAGTGTGCTTTTCTTCTCTCAAGTTTTTTTTAGCTACCTCCTCCCACATTTTTTAAATAACACTTCCTTTTCTACATGTCATAACTATTTCTTCCTTCTTTAAAGTATTCTATTTTAACTCAACTATTTATCTTTCCACCCAGTAACTTATCTGAACAAAAATAACATTTTCCAAAATGCATTATTTTAGTCAATTATACAACTCTAAAAGATAAAATAGGTATAAAATGTTCATATTATTGATGTGGGATTGAGACCAAGAAAACATGATTAGGTTTAAGATCATTCTGGATCTGAATAGATTAGTTTAGACAAGAATTAAGAACATATTTATGGTAGGACTACAGATAATATTCTATTTAAACATGCTAGTCTTACACAATTTCTGTATTCCATCCATGCATCAATAATACATGATATAGAAGAGTTAAATTATTGTTGTATTTTTAATGTTATTTAGAAGCTTTCATTCTGTAAATGTTTCTGCTGTATTTCCTGTTTTATAATAGAATATCTCTTCTAATATTTTTGAATGATAGCTGTTTTTATTCTAAATATGCAGTCATAAAAACTCTGAGAATAGCAACCCTTAGTGTATCAATAACAATTAATTCAAGAAACTGTAAATTGCTAATTATGAGCACAGGGCTTGATTGTCTGTTCCTAGGACTTGGGTTAGAGTAGGTGATAGCCTCTTGTATGGTCCATGTGTATAGTTTTTTAAATGATTGTTGTTTTGTCTGGACTTTTAATTATTTTTGTATTTTTATAATACGTTTATCATTGTATTTTGTAAGCTGTCCAGAGTCATAACAGATAGGGGCAGCTCATAAATTTCATAAATAAATAAACATGAAAATCATTCCTGAATGTGGAGGTATAAAAAGAATTAGCAATATTTTCCAGAGTCAATGGAATATCTGCTTTCCCCATATACTTACTTTCCCCATGTAACTACATGAGTAAATTAGGCTGCAAGGAATATTAATGGTTATAGAGAAATTCCAGTGTACTAGTAGTAGTAGTAGTAATAATAATAATAGTAATAATTTATTAAACTTGTATACCGCCCAACTCTCAATGACTCTGGATGACTCACAACAATCAAACAAACAATTAGAGTGTGAGATTGTCAGTCAAATGCATCATACAGAGGTAAGCCATTAGGTGTGACTAAATAAGTATTTGTATACTTTGATTTGTTCTTAACAGAATCATCAATGTAAAGCTGTTCACCTCTGAAATAACTTTTTTTTTCATTGATGTCTAGTCAACATGGGAAATGAAAACATGGGTTTCCATTTTAACTCTAATGACTACGTATAAAGTTGTGGCAGTACCTCATGTATTCAGTTATTCATCTTACTAGATACTGACCCAGTTTAGACATAATACTGTCTGATAAATGGAGATTTACTGACTTAGGAATAAATCATGTGCCTGAAGAGAACTTCTTTCAAGTTCAGCAAAGGCTTCTAAATATTTTCAATCATAAAAGTTCCCTCCAAACCGGATATCAAAACTTCTGTTTGGATAATCATGCCACAGACTTGCTTGTCACTATAGCAATATTTGATACCCGATGGCAACATAGGTGTAATAGGTTCTACTTACATGAAGTTTATATACTTTCAGTTGTAGCCATTTGAAAACATTTAATGTAGAATTTAATTTAATTTATTAAATTTAATGTAGAAGGGAGTATGTTTTCAGCAACTTAAATTTCATCTGAGGATATGTGTTAGTAAGTTGAAATATTTTGAGGTTTGGAAGAAGACGTTGGTTTATTGCATAAATATGCATGCATATCACATTAGTACATATGCCTGGATTTCTGAAAATAAACAGATATTCAGAGGCTTCTGTAAGTCAGTGGTATTCTTTTGTAATAGATCCAAGAGAAAGAAATTGTTCAGAATTAAAAATGGACAATTTTACTTTGCCTTTCAAATATATTATAAGGATAAAGATTGAAAATAAGGTACAGCATATTAAAGCCCTCTCCCTGGTAGCTTTCAGGGAGTCAATGAAAATGGAGCTTTTTCCAAAAGCCTTTCAGTAACATCATGTTTGCCTCTTATTCTTCTTCTTAGTTTTCGCTCCTATTTTTATTTTATTTTTGTGATAAAGGCAAAAGTTGGAAAAATGAAAAGATCAGCAAGAATTTAAAAAATATTGGAGTAGTTGCCAAAAAAGCTTTTCTGAGAAGAGTATTGCAAAATTAGGACACTAGCACTGTAAAATTCTCCCATGATATTCCAATAAACTGAGAAGGATAGAACACAAGAGCATACGTGAAATCTGAAAGAAAAAGAACAAACACAAAGAGTAAACCATTTTGGTAAGACTATGCTGATCTTCGAAGGAGCATTTCAATTTTACAGAGTTTCAGTTGAAACACTCTTTCTGAACAAACCCATGAAGTGGCCTGTGGCTTCTAATTGTTGGGGTGGAACAGCTATGTCCTTTTGCTTCAGTCGGTATCAGGCTGTGCATGCCTGTGCCCGATGACTGAAGTGCAGAGGCCTCTCAAGGCAGCTCAGCCCAACCTCAGCACTCCTTTCAGAGGGAGGAGTTCACCTCTGTGTAGTGAAAACACCTCAAGATAAATTGCAGCCAAACCGTATCTTTTAGATGGGGAGGTACTGAAGGCTAGAAAAACAGGTGCAGATGCTAGGCAAAATTTGCAGATAGATAGGCAAATGCCTCCCTGGCTATAGGTCCCTCCTGTATATTGAGCAGTAGCCATGGATACAGAAGGATCCCCAAGTTGCAAATCTGCTCATTCTGGGATAGTACTGCTTCCTCAAGAGATATCAGTGGAAGTAACTAAGACCCTTGCTATACAAGTGGCACTCTGTCTTGCTTGGGTTCAGCTTCAGCCTGTTTTATGACAGCTACATTCTGACAGGATCTAGGTACCAAGATTTTTATATTATCAGCTCAAGCCGAGATGGCAATGGGAATCTGAGTATCATCAGAATATTGATATTGATATCACATACTGTAATAATGGATGATCTCTCCCAGCAGCTTCATATAGAAGTTAAATAATAAGGGGGAAGGGAGAACCAAACTCTGTGTCACCCCATGTATGGGTGGCCACTGGATCAACCTCTCTTTTTCCTTTTAACCACCAGCTGAAACCACCCATTATGGAAGGAGTAGAATCCCTGAAGGACAGTGCCCCCAAAGCTCAATCCTCATAAGCACTCAAAAAGGAGACCATGGTTGATGATGACATTGAATGTTGCTGAGAGGCTCAGAAGGACCAGAAGGGGCACAATAAACCCCTCTATGTCCTGACAAATTAGCACAGCCAGTGCTGTTTCTGTCCCATGTGCAGCCTGAATTCTCATTCACTGGCACTGACCTATCAGCTGGAGTTTTATCCCACTACCACTCAACACTTTGGCTTGGCACGAAGTATGACTTCCAGACTGTTTGGTCTCATTGATTCATTATTTGTTTTGGTTCCCACAGTATTGTGACCAATGCTCAGTCTCAGTATTAGAGGTGTCCTTTTTATAGTATGGAGAATGAATCTGTTTAGATTAGGTCCACAGTCTGGAAAGATGAAGATCAGATGTCACTGGATTCACAGTTAACAGTTATGGCCTAAAGCACATTTACTCATTCTTGGCTAAAATGCTTGCTTCTTCCTTTCCTGAATCAGTAAGATTTGGCAGCAGCAGATGGGATGTGATATCGTATGCTGATATTACATCCCATCTTGGCTACTGCAGTCTGTTCTGTGTATAGTAGAATTACCATTGAACAATATCCAGAAGTTGCAGTTGGTACAAAATACAGCATCTAACTAAGATAAGGGATTATTACATAATGCCTGCATTGAAAGATCTGTACTCATTCCCAGTTGCTTATCAGGCACAATGTAAGATGTTGCCATTAATCTTTAAAGACCTAAAGAGCTCTGAACCTGCTTTCCCATTATGAACCTGCCTGTCAGCCTTCCCAAGTAGACCAGATAGGAAACACAACCAGATGAACTAATTCTACTTTATTGTAAGGCTACATTAACAGAATCTTGCAAGTCTGAAAGTACAAATCTCCCGCCGTCTCCTTTACAGCCTGGGATGCTAGGGTGGGTCCCTTCTGAGCCTCTTTCTCTGCCCATTATGCAGCTGTAGGCTGTGCCTTCTTTTATCTGACCATTCCCTAGGCAGCATCTCTTTGCCCCATCTTTCAAGGTCTTTCTCACATAACCATTATACTGCCCAGGTGTTAAGATCTGCAGGAGATGCTCTTTTCAAGATGTCCCTGCTATCAGAGCCTTATTTTGCTGGCACTTGGACGACAGCTTTCTCCTGCTCCCAGACTATGGGTTGCATTCCCTAAGGAGCTGCAGCTTACTGTCTTGGCATTCAGAAAGTTGGTAAGGTAGATTACTTTTGTCAGGCTTTTAATAATTACTTTTATTAGTAATTTTAATTTATTAGTTTAGTTTTATTAGGCATTTTGAGCACTCAAATAATAAGGCAGGAAATAAATTGAATAAATAATAAAACATAACACTTTTTTGTGTTTCTTGGCTATAGAATATTATTCAAGGACAAAGACCGGAATTGGGAAGACATTGAAAAAAAACTGCGAGCTGAAAGTGATATCCCAATTGTGAAAACATCAAGCATGGTATGATTAAAATAACAGAGGCATATTTCAAAATGAAGAAACAGGAGTGGGACATTTTGTCATTAAAAATAAGTCCACATTAAAAAATATGGCTGTTCAGTTATTATAAAACTCAGTGCCAACTCAGTCTCAAATATTGATGTTATTGTGTACTAGAATTTTACATAACATTGAAGAGACCGAGACAGCACCCAAGCTTACAACTTTGAAGATCACCACTGCCTACCATTTTGTCACATCAAATGCCAAGTGGGCTTCACAAAACCAGTTGCTTTTGTGCCCAATTCAATTAGATCAACAGTAGTTAGAAAAGAGTAATTTCTAAACTAAAACCAAGGATACAAGAAAACTCTGGGCTGGGCTGG